CCCCAGGAGTCAGATACATGGAGGCTCCTGTAATCTCAGGACCGTGAGGTCACAGGCAGCCCTGGGCAATCACCAAGGCATCCCGGGTCTTACTGCTAAGAACAGCCCTGAAAACCCCATTTAAGTCCCACCTCACATGTGCTTAAGGCCCCATGTACACACGGGAGACTGTGAGACAAGTCAGAACAGATGGACCCAGTGTAGTCCATCCCCGAATCTGGGGATGATTCGTGCAATAAGATGTAACACAAATGAATTCACGAGACTGTGCGACAGTCACCAACCATGAGAGAAAGCATTTTATAGAACCAAGTGTCAAAGGCCAGTAGTCAGGCTTTAAAGTCCCCGGCCGATTCAGAAACATTTATGCCACAAGGGGAAACGGGACTGTCAGCAGGACCTGACAGAGGCTCTGAGTCAAGTCTAAGCGGTGCCGTGTGGACCAAACCCAGAGAGAAGGCCGCCCGAGGCTGGGGAGCTGCCTGGCGGGTCCACGGAGGTCACCCCACTAGCAGAACAGTGCAGAGTGAGGAGCTGACACCCTCAGAGCCATGTCTGGGCTAGAAACGTGTCCCTGCACAAAGCAACCGGAGGCTTCAGTCCCAGGCTCCGGGCTCCGGGGTCCAGAGCTCTGACTGGACAAAGCACACGTGCCATCGCCCAGGAAGTCTCGCCAGGACGGCTCCTGCGGCTGCGGAGGGTGCGGTCGGGGACACCTCCACACCTGCTACCCACGCCTCCCACAGCTGCTTCTCACGGCAGCGCAGACACCACACCAGGGGGTTGACTTAGGCTATCAACACGCACACTACAGCCTACAGCTCAACGTCCCTGAAAGTAAAAGTGTTGGAATAAAAAGCTCGCGAAGCAGGCAGGGCGGCCTCGGTCACCCAGCCCAGGCAGGGCTCCCACGGCCAGGACAGCGCGCCGCGAGGTCACTCACGGTCCTCCGACGTGGTCCCCCGCGCCTCTTCGCTCCAGTCGCTCCAGAAGCCCTGGCCGTCCTCCTTCATGCAGCGCACCCGGAACACGTACTCCGTGAAGGGCCGCAGGTCCTGGACTGTGAAGGAGTAGCGGGTGGACGCTGTGTCTTCAAGGGGAATCTGAAAGCAGAGCAGCCAGCTGACCCCGCCCATGGCCCTCAGACTTCAGAAACTAAGCTACTGGACAGACGCACACGTGACTCCAGCTCTGGAGAGACAAACGCAAATCAGAAAGCTCCTCACAGCAGCAGAGTCCACAGGTTCGGGAAGCACAGAACCGTGTACCCTGAACCCTCCTGCCTCCGGGGGTGAATTGAGAGAATGACAGCAGCCAGCACCGCAGCCGGGCGCGAACGAATCAGAATTACACCCATCTTTGTCAGATCGGCAGAAACAGCAACCCCTTTGGGTGTGCCGCGGAACTATGAAGTTTGCATAAGGCTTAGCGCCGGTACCTGGCTCCAGGCCGCGGTGCCCCGGGCCCGGTACTGGATGTCGTACTTCAGGCCGATGAACTTGTCGATGCTGGAGTTGACCCAGGTCAGCTTCAAGATGCTGGACAGCTCCTCCGAGCTGCTGACGGACACATTGCGCGGAGGAACGGGCTTCACTAGAGAATGAAATAAACCCTCACGTCCACCAGCTTCCTCTGCAAACTCACACACCCGCTCCTGCTCTCACACGGCCACCCGTCACCACGTCCCGACCAGCACACGCGAGAAAGGAACAGCTGCTACACCCGCTTTCCGTGTCACTGGGGACATCTGTTCTGTCTTTTCGGGCTCAGGTGTCAGAGAACCATTAGATATGCACAACGTACAGAACTTCGAGAAAGAATAAAGCCGGCCGGACGCACACCGTGGCTACCACCTGTGAGAGGCCTGGAAAGCGGGCAAACACCAGGCGACAGTCCGTGAAGCCGGCGGGCACTGTGCTCTGTCCACGTCGTGTTTCACGTTGCGACACCATGAACTAGCGACACCTGTGCCTGTCCCTACCGGACCGAGGCCTAGACTCCCTCAGTCACACACCGCGGCGAGCGCGGGAGCTACCTCTGTTCACGGGGTCGAAGTTGATGTGCTCGGACGTGGCCTCCCCCAGGGCGTTGCGCGCCTCCACCCAGACCTCCATGTTGACGAAGTAGACGGGCAGGTACTCCACGGTGCAGGCAGGGGGGCTGCCGCGCTTCGTCTTACAGTCAGGAAACTTCTCCGTTGCCCTAAATACAAACACGGAAGAATCAGGCGTTAAAGGAGGCCTGAAAACACGAGCGTGAAGAGGTGGCTTGAAGGGTTTCGTGAGACCCAGGCTATGACAGGGCAGAACACAAAGTTGACTCCAGCACGTGTGAAATGAACCGACTGCTGAAAAACAGTCTTTCCTAAAGACTAACCTGCTGATCGTCAAATACGTCTGATCTGTATCTTAAACACAAAATTATCCTCAAACTTCTGCTGCGGGAGCGTTCCGTCCGGTGTGCTACCCTCAGCCCCGGCCCCTCCCGACGGCTCCTCCCAGGCTGGGGGCTCAGTGCCACTCCTCTCCTCCCGGCGGGCACAGTCCTCCCGGCCGGCACAGTCCTCCCGGCCGGGCACAGTC